GAGAGAAAAATAGTCAGCTGGAAAAGCATTATTTACATCCTCTGCATGAAAAGACAAAATCACAGCCAGCTGTGGCTGCTTTTCAGTTATGAAAAGCTGAGAACTCCTTACATGTCTCTGTGTGTAATGTCCACCACCCCAGGCTCCTTTGGGAGGAAAAGTGGGTAGAAATTCAATAAACAGAATAAAAATGAGTTAACTTGCCCCTGAGCTATAAAAGTATGCCACTTGTCTTTCAGCCTCAGCCCATTCCCTCACCCCATCCTCTGAAATTTTGGAACAATGATACCAGCCTGATTTACAGGGTTGTTGCATCACCCCACCGCATCTGCAAAGCACTTTGAACACTCTTTTAAGTATTCATTGTTATTATCGATTGCAAATTGCTTTTACTGTTATTAACAGAAAAACAGCTCATTCATAATATATGTTAACACCACTATCATCGCCCCAGGTGCATTCTTTAAATTCTTAATCAGCATTTTCCCAGCTTGCTCTGGAAACCCATCCAGCTACCTCTCTCATCCTACAGTGGAGGATTCCAGGGTGAGAGAGTCACTCGATTTAGGTTTCGCTTTCTTGGCTGAACTTCGTGAAGGGAATCATAGTGGCTGCCAGAGAGACCACAACGATCTGGCCTGGCAAGATTCCAGCTGTGCCTCAAAAGGGACTTTCCTTTGCAGAAGTGGTTGCTAGAATTTAACTCACAGCAGCCCCAAGTCAGAATGCAGATAAGAAGCCAACCTCATCGGACTGAAGGATTAAATCTAGAGGTGGAAAATACCGACTGCAGAACGTTACCCAAGATAAGACTTGCCCTCAATGAGTTCTGGACGTCTTCGGAAGACCTCATTCATTTAGACTTTCGCACACAAGCTGGTATATTATGTAGAAAATGCTACCCAAGTGATATGTTTTAAATTACTCGTCCTCAAAGTTGGGGGAAATAAAAGTGTGGTTGCATTGCCTGTGGAAGGCAACGAAGGTTTCATTTCAACTGTATCATGTAGCTGGGGAACTGAAGCTGAGATAATAACTTACCTAAGGCCACTCAGTGGCTCTGTGTGGGATTTGTATCCAGTTTCTTCAGTTCCACCAGAGCCACTAGGTTCTTTCGGTGACACGTCAGCCCAGAAAATGTAAATGGAATAAACAAAAAGGAGAGGCCTTGAGTGCCTTCCTTTTTTAATAAAATCGTTTATAAAGAACAGTGGGAAGAGCTGATTTTGTGAAAAGGGTTCCTTTTAATTTGCAAACAATCATTTTACATAGTGCAAAGAATAGACTTTGCCATTACCACATAAGCAAACCAAAAGGCCCCTCCAGAGGCAGCAAGAAGGGCAACTGCAAGAGGAGACAACGGAGCAGGTACTGGATAAAAGGCAATTGCACGTCATCTTCATCTTCTTATAAAATAACACTCAGAAGGTTTGTGAGAGTGGGCAGCAGTTTGAACAAGGCACAGATCAGGAGTGAGCAGCTAGCTCCACAGGACAGTAGGCAGGCCTTTGCTGTAACACCACACATTTCTGCTCCTGCTCAATTCTCCATCCACCCTCCCCCCCCCCCCAAAAAATGCAAAATGTCCAGTTCTACACATCTAACTGCTTAGAAAGACTGGAATAAAATTCTCAGATACAGATTTTTTTTGGGGGGGTGGGATGGTTAGAGAGAATCACATATTATTCTAAATTAGGTTGTTCTCCACCTTGCACATTTCTTTAGTTGCTCAGTACAAATCAGTGCATGTAAACTCTGGTCTATGCTAGCAGAACTATAGAGCAGAGGAGCCTGTACTGATTCAGACTGCAGGTGGGCAGGTTCACATTACTGAATGCTCCCCTCCAAATAAATAAATAATAATAATAATTTGTTAGCTTTCTACTTGTAAATAATAATGAGCAGGATGGCCAAGAACCCCTCTCTGATGTGCTACTTTGTTTTTAACTTGTAGAAAGTTTTGTTATGTAGAAGATTACAAAAATAGAATCACCCATCTGCAGCCAGAAGTTGCAGTCTGCCCTACTACCTTGTAGCACGTTGACTGTCTAGATCCAACTGATTATATAAACTCTCTTTGATCCCATATATATATATACACATATATACACACACACACACACACACACACACACACACACAATCACAAGCTCACTTGACTTTGTTAGCTTTATAGCTAGCTTGCCTTCAGCACTGTCTTCCTTTCTGACCTGCCATCATTAAGGCACTCAGTTTAGCATTTGCTCAAATCCATTTTTCAGCTACCAAACCTTTGGCTCCACACAATAGTACATCATATCATTCAGAGGGGTGCCACAGCTCTCTCTTAAAACCAAAGAACTTGGCAAATACTCTGTTAGGATTCAGCTGCACTGTGCAGATTTAACTGCAAGGTTCAGAATTAAAAGAAAATTAAAAGCATAATGCAGAAGACTTTCCAATTAAAAAAACAAAAAACTCCACACTTTGGGAGGGTTTTAAACAGTCCCGTTTTTACAACGCAACTGAAAAATTCTGATTTTGAAACCCCCACACTGCGTACCCCCGCAACATTCAAACCAAGTGTCATCAAATCTTAGCATCTGACTTAGCAGACAATGTGTTTCAACAAGGTAGACACTCTAGTTTTCAGGACGGGAAAATCTGCTTTGAGATTCCAGTCTTCATTCTCATTTTGCAAAGTGAAGTTTAGCCCCTGAAGCTTTTGGGGGTGAGGGTTGAACAACCTTCCCAGAGGGCATTGAGCAGTGTTACAAAAGGCAAGGTCTCCTGGATGCGTTGCTCAAGTCTGCTGCAAAGGGTGCTGCGTAAGGTCACGATGGTGGAATTCATGACACCCTGACCTTTCAGCTGTGGACCTCATCTGTTACAAAGAGATATTCACTGGGAAGTAAGCGCTATTAAAATCAACAGGGCATACTTCAAAGCAAACACTAAGGACCAGGGTGCCAGCCACATTCTAATGCTATTAAAACGATTCTGTGAAGGACGCTGATATCCGGTGCTTTTATACAGTCAGGATCAAGCCATGTTTTGCCACAGCTTCAACAAGGCTGCAAAAACCTCTCCGGCCCAGGTGCAGCACTCCATTTATGACTAGGAACAGCTTTCAATAATTTAGAAAGCTCAAAAGAACACCACAAATATAAAACTTGTCAGGGTTTCATACCTCTACCTCTCAGCTTTCTTTTTCCCAGTTTAAACATTCAAGAAACCAGGTGGCTCTGGCCAGGGTGGGTAAACCACTATCTGTCTTTCTCATCTCCACATTTTAGACACAGGAGAGACAACGATTAGCAGCAGCTATTCACTGAGTTTTCTATGCTTTTGGATTCGCTCTCGTGCCCAATTTCCAAAAAGCAAAGCTATGGATGCTTTCTGACTAGGTCTGGGGAAAAAGGGAGCCCAAAGGTTACTCTTATGCCAAGTGCAACAGTCAAAACAAACCACTCTAGCCTATGTCCCTTCCTACTTTCGTAATTTTCCTTCTAGAACAAATGTTACTTGCACCTGGGAGACTGGTTTCGTCTTCTGGACTTAAGCGATCAGACCCAGAACCAGGCTTTCTTACTGAGGTCACCACCCTGTTCAAATCTTACCCAGACAAGTAGTCATAAAAAACTTTATCTTATTATCAGTCCACACCAGAGCCTGGAGTCAAACCATGCAGTCTCCAGCACTGTTGATAAGAGGCTTGCCACTTGTTACGACTATATTTGGTTACATCAGCTTTCCCCAGCTGGACCCCAAAGAGGGAAAATATATATCAATCAATCAGTTGTGCAATAAAGCTGGAATGTAATCGTTTTGCATAGGTGACCTGTGGAAGTTACATGCCAGCAGAGACAAGAGGATCCTGACTTCAGCTTGCTAGTGAACTACTGTGTGTGGTGTCTCTGTGCTCCACAGCTGTACATTTGGTGTCCAGCTTGCTTTTTATATGAAGTCTTGAAACAAATGAGCACAGAAAACCTGGAGGGGGGTGGGAAATGACAGTGCTGCCACAGCTCTTTCAAAATTACACATCAAAAAGATGCTCACTGGGTATTGGGAAGTACTTCTTGGAAGTAGGGATTCTGTGGTGCATGGTTTTTAAAAGTGCAAGCTAAATTAGTGAGGCTTTCTATGTATAGCACCTGTCAGAAATCTACACACCAGTGCTTGGAAGTATGAACTTTCCTACTACAGAATGCACAAATACATGTTAAGGTAACTAGACAATATTCTGAAGAGAACCATGAAACTGGCCTACTGGTCAGTTTCAGGTTGCTGAAGTCTCACTATTAAAACATACATGGGAAACTTATGGCTCTCCAGACATTATTGGACTCCAACTCCCATCAGCCTAGTCAGAATGGCTGATGGTCAGGGATTACAGGAGCTGTAGTCCAGGAACATTCCCCTGCTCTAGAAAGAAATGCAGGGGAGAGAATATTGTTTCATACCCCCAGTAAAAGAATGGAGGAAGGATTAACATATTTTCCCCAAGTGTTTACCAAACAAGCCTGCTAAGGGTTGTTGTTGTTGTTTACATGCTAAGTTATAGGAAAGCCAAAAAATCTACAATTTCAGCACCTGCTCTCTTTGCAACAGGTAGCTCCTTACCAGAAATCTACCTTAATTACTCGTCAGCTTCTGGCTGACATTTTACCGGTTGCTTTTTTAAAGCCACACTTCTGTATATTCAACATGTTGGCTCAACATCTTTAGCAACAGCAAAGTTCTAGATGATTACTGTGATTGGCTAGTGGCAGCAGCAAGAAAATGAAAACAGAGGTGCATAGAAACCATCCACAGTATTTTCCAAGTTGCACTGACTGCAATAGTTCTTTGGAAATAAAAAGGGTAGCCATTGCCAATATCAACGATCAGCATAAAGCTTCTGTCAACCAGCTGCCATAGAAAGCAGCAGGTACAAAATGCCAGCAGCCCCACATGTTTTGGCCAATGCACATGGAAAGCTTGAAGGAATGTGGAAAAAGCTATCCCCTCCACATAGGTCACAGGTAGACATTGAGAGTCTGCAGGATCATCTGCCGGCAGAGTGGGCAGTTGCGCTGGTATATGGCCTGCTGCAGCAGGATTTCAGTGCACTGCTGGCAGAGGCAAAGATGCCGGCAGGGAAGTAGCAAAACTGTCTTTGTTTGGTCCTGGCAGATGACACATTTCTTCCGCTCTTCTTGTTCTTTGAGAAGAAGCCATGGGTCATCGTCGTCCTCCAGAGCATTAAGCTGCTCTTTTGTTGCAGGTTTGGCATGTGATGTGCTTGGTCCTTCACCAGAAGGCTGCAAGTGCTGCCCTGAGTGCAGACTCTGTTGTGTAGTTGATTCCAGATCATCTTCTGTTCTGTGCTGGTTCCTGCTGCCTCGAGCTGCTGCCTGCCATGTCTGGCGGGCACGGGGTACAGCCTGCTGATTGGTCACAGGTGGTCCTTGTCTTCTTGGATGAGTTGCTCCCGGAGGAGCTGGTCCCTGAACTACAGCAGGTCCTCCTGGCCTTTCTTGGTTGCCCTCAATCAAAAGCTGTTGCTCTTGTTCCACATGGTGGTTTCCTCCCCTGCCACCTCTGTTCCAGCTAGCCATCTGGAGGCTCCAGTCAGCTAACCTGCGCCAAGCTTGCGAGCTCAAGACCATATCCAGTGACAAGAGTACAATCTGATACAGGCGGCGCATGTCTCTGAGCAGGCGCTGGTAAGAAGGCATGGTGTTCAAATAGCCAGACATTTGGCTTGCCAGTGTCCATGTCAGCTGAGGGTTGAGGATTAAGATGCTGGTGGCAAGAATCACAGACAGCAACATCAAACCATAGAGGTTGAGGAAGAAAACATTAAGCAGCAGCTTGCTCACAGAGGCCAGCAGATCAAACGCCAACTGGCAGGGAGTCCACAGGAGGATGGCCATAGCGATGGCACTGCTGGACAGCCGTGCAACAAAAGCTGCAAAAATATCGGTGACCCTTAGAAAGGGGCCAACAACAGTTTCCCACAGGGCCAGTCCCAGAGAGAAAAGGTTCTGGGTTCCGATGAGGCAGATGTTGATGATGCTGTTGACGAAGTAAGCCACAAGGCTCATGACGATGGCACACACTTCACACACTTGCCTGAGAAGTGACTGGCCGGATCCAACCAGGTTCCAGAAACCACGGTGCATAATTTCTTTGCTTTTAAGCGTCAGGTGGGTGAACAGGTGGCCCACTACTTTCAAGCTCTCCATGCTGGAGAAGAAGCCCCGCAGCATGTTGACAATGGTGTGCACAGAGCCCAGAGTCAAGTAATACAATGCCTCGGCTATACATAGCGAGGATAACGTAATCCCATTCCAGCAGTGGATCACACAAGCAACCAAGGTATTGGGCAGGCTACAAACAAATGCAATGAGCCAGACGAGGAAGGACACTAGTGTGGAAAAGAGGAAGAAGTTGACATCCAGCAAGAGAACCAAGAGGTCCAAAATCATTCCCACACCATTGATAACCAGAAACACTAGATCCATAGCGGAGCTCCACATGGAGAGTGGGCAAAAATAGGAATAATTGGACTGACAAGAGTTTGATTGCCACTGAAGGGAGCTGCACCGCTTCCCAAAAGACTGAAAGGAGAGGTCCCGGTATCCTAGGAATAGATTTTTACGTTATTTCAGAGTTTTATGAAATAAGGGACTGTTTCGGCATCAAGATGGAAAGTGCACTGAAGACAAACATCGATGCTCCCTTGTCCTTGAGGCTTAATCCCTTCTTTTAAAATTTGTAGGAATGCCCGGTTTGGAAGAGGAGTTGCTTTTAGTTACGTCTCTCTCCAATTTGAATATACAAAGTATTTATTTCAGACCAGGTAGAAACAGTTCCATTTTCCGAAGGGAGCACGTCTGGCTCCTAAATCAGTCACTTGACAAGAAAAAAATACTCTCACTTCACTGAGAGTTATTGAGATCTAAGCAAATGTCCCCATATGCTACATATGCTTCTTTCTTCCTGCTGAGCTTTTTATTTAAGGATTATGCTGACAGATAAGGTGTAGAAGCGAGTGTGTTTTTATTTGCATGGGGAAAATACGGAAGACCCCCACCAGACGAAAGGTGAAATTCGTATCAGTCCGCTGTGGCGAAAAAGCGGGGGATACAGTAGACGGGGGAGGCAAGTTAGGACATGCCCGCTAGTGTACCAGGGGCGCATGCAGGGGAGGGGGGAGGGGACGAAAGGCTCCAGTGAAATCCCCTCCCCCTGAGGGGGCTCCTTGAAGAAGGTCTCCGAAGTCAGCTTAGGGAACTGGAGCCCAGACCGGATGGGTCTCCCTCCGCAGCCCCCTTCCCCAAGGGGAGGAGACAGCACCCACTCCTCGCCTTGACAACCGCTGCCACCTTCTTGCGTTGCACCCCTCTCTTACGTGCAAGCAGCGGAATAAGGAAGGTGGGGAGCTCGATCCCGTTAAGTCTATCAATCGTTCCCACTCGCCGCTGCATCCGAAGCTCTTACCTTCGCGCTGATGGGCGCCGCCATTCTGGTAGGCGGGGCCAACGCTCCGCAGCCAATCAACCCAGGGGAACCCGATGGACGTTTAACCGTACAGCGCGTGATTTGCTCGTCGTCGTTGTTGTTTTTCGCCTCCGTGCCACGATTGGGCAGTTTTGAAAAACGCCACTGGGCGGTTGACGGAGAGTCCCGAGGGGGCGTGGCTTTGCCGAGGCCTTTGAGAGGGGGCAGCCCCGCCCCAATACAGTGGGAGGATAATAGTAGGAGGGCGGACGGACGTTGCACGACTGTTAGTACGTCACGTGATTCTGTGGTGGGCACCCCGCCCAGGTTTAAAAGGAGAGTGTATTATTGTGACGGGGGGTATAATTTTCCCGCCTTTTTTCTTGAGGGGATTCTCCCCCTCGTTTGAAAGGCGGGGGGGGGGGAGTGTAGACAAAAGACTCTTTTGTTATTTTAAATCTGAGGTGAAATTTCACGGTTTTGTGAAAGGAGCTCAGCTTGCAAACCGAAGGAAGGAGCTCATTTCCCCGCCCCACACACTTTCGGGGCGGGGGCGGGAATGTTTTTTGTAGCATTTAAAAAACTGAAGAAGGAATTTTGTCTGCTATTTCAGTGAAAGTGCTATTTTGATAATGTTATTAACAAAATAGAATGAGAAAAACAACACGTTTCTTTTATATAGAAGGAAAATCCAGAGGAAACCAGTAATTTTGCTATGTGTAACGGTTTGCCTTTCTTTGCCCCGTGTAAAACATCAGACACCAGTGATACACAAAAGCATACAATTAAAAACCACACGAAATGTTTAAGAATCAGCTAACTATTGTGAAAGGACGTACCGTATTTTTAATTACTTGCATAAGCCTGATGGAATTGAAAAGTCTTCAGATGTTTAAAAGTTGGGGGGGGGGGGAGGTCCTTACCAAGGTTTCAAGGTTTGACCCGAGGTTTTGGGGTTTTAGGCTGTACATTTTCCTGGGAGTACATCGGCATAGTGGGATTTTCCTGGGGGCTTTTTGGGGGGGGGCAGAACCTAAGATTTGTATTGATTTGCAATGATTTTTAGTGATTGGGGGGCAATTGCCCCCGTCCCCCTGCCTTGGCTACGCTTATGTGGGAGTAAGTCCCTTTAAACTCGGGGTTTACTTCTGAGTAGGCAGAAACAGGATGCATTTATTTATTACATTTATATCCTGCCCTTCCAAAGGAGCCCAGGGTGGCAAACAAGTAACAAAAAAATATATTCAAAACAATTCCATTGCCGAAGGGAACTCTGGGAAAGATAGTGACTTAATGCTTCCTTTGTTAAAAAGTCCTTGCTTCAGAGACTTTGGAAGACGAGGGTTAAATATTGGGTTAAGGAAGCAGAAACATATATTATGACATCCCCACCCTGCAGAATTGTCTCTTATGCACTTTTAAAGTTAACACAAAGGCCCGTCTAGTTCAGCAGCCCCCAAGCAAGAAATGGAATCAACAGCTGTCTCCCTGCCCCTTTCCCCCCCAGTCTCTCCTACCAGTAATTGGTTTCCTGAAGTAGACTACCTGTGAGCCTGGAAATTCCACATAGCCAAATATAAACCATCTTTTTATATCTCCACAGTTTGTTCCAGCCCTGGCGTTCTCTATTCCTCTCATTGTGGGATAGACTGAGTGGTGAACATGCACATAGCATAGCAAATGATCTCGAAGCAGGAAAGAAGGTAGTGATCCTGCTTTTTTCAGGCTTTTAAAATGAAATTTAATCTAGTTATATCATGTTCTTCCAAGGAGCTCAAGGTGGTGCTACATTGTTCTCTTACTCCCCCAATTTTATCCCCACAAGATTGTGGCTAAGAGGTTAAGCTAAGAGGGAGGGAATGGACCAAGGTCATCCAGTGAGCTTCCTGGATGAGTGAGCATTTGAACCCAGGCCTTCATAGTCCTAACTCAATTGCCTATAAGGTAAAAGGTAAAGGTAAAGGACCCCTCAATGGTTAAGTCCAGTCAGAGGCGACTACGGGGTTGTTGCGCTCATCTTGCTTTCAGGCCGAGGAGCTGGTGTTTGTCCACAGACAGTTTTCCGAGTCATGTGGCCAGCATGACTAAACCGCCACTGGCCCACGTAGGACCGTGATGAGTGCCAGAGCGCATGGAAATGCTGTTTACCTTCCTGCTGCAGTAGTACCTATTTATCTACTTGCACTGGCATGCTTTCAAACTGCTAGGTTGGCAGGAGTTGGGACAGAGCAACAGGAGCTCACCCCGTTGCGGGGATTTGAACCGCCGACCTTCCGATCAGCAAGCCCAAGAGGATCGGTGGTTTAGACCACAGCGTCACCCGCATCCCTGTCAATTGCCTATACCACATTAAGAATGGCATGAGCTTTCTTCCCCAAGCAGTGCTCCATTTTCCACAAGGACTACCCTTGAGGACTCAAGTTCTGTACTCTGAACCTCAGGAGACCTGATAACCTAATTCAGTTTGAAGGCTATTCTTTGTTCACCACATATTATGCTTCCTTTTTCACATCAACAGCCCTACACACACACACACCTGCAATGTCTGGGTGCTGTTTACCTGCTTTAGCTACAAGGGCAAGCATATATGCTTGGTTGTTGGCCCACCATAAGGGGTTGCACTGATCACCTTTTCTTTCTTTTTAAAAAAATGCTTGTTCAGTACTTAGGGTCATAAAACCTGTTCTGGCAAGTTTTAAATTAAACCTAGTAAGAAATTTGATCCATCTTGTGCGTGCTTGGGGAAAATTAGAAAAAGCTACAAATTGTCTGAGCAAGAAGTCAAGGCTAAATTGCTATTAAATTCATTCAAGGCTAAATTGCAAAAAAGCAAAACTAAAGCAGCCTCTTTTCCTGTTTGCTGAGATTTGTACCTTCCAAAAGTTGTAGCAAGGTTATCAAAACCGATGCCTTTCTATTTGTCCTGGCAAAAGGTTATCACCACAGATTTCCTTCCATTTGTTTTAGCAAAAGAGATTTTAGAACATAAGGAGGAGCCCTGCTCAATCCAATGAAAGGTCCATCTACATATTGCTTTCCCACACTGACCACAACTTGTTTAAGTTGTCACTTCAGATTTCTGTACACCACTTTGATATTTGTAATACATTGTGCAGTACAGTCATACCTCATGTTACGTTTGCTTCATGATACTTTTTTCAGGTTGTGTCCCGTGGCGACCCGGAAGTATCAGAAAAGGGTTACTTCCGGGTTTCGCCGCTCGCGCAGGTGCACAAAATGACGCCGCACGCATCCGCAGAAGCAGCAAATCGAAACCTGCGTGTGTGCAGACATGCCGCTGCAGGTTGCCTTCTGCTCATGTTGCGAACGGGCCTCCGGAACGGATCCCGTTCGCAACCAGAGGTACCACTGTATAGAAATGATGTAAACAATAATAATAAAACATGCAGTAGCAACATTTACCGTAATATTTAATAGGCAAGACAAGCTCCAAGGAATATAAAAACTTTTTCCCTCTGGCAGTGGAAAGAAAGCAAGGAAGTTATGTGACAGTTTATTTGCAGTCAACCAAAACATATTATTTTAGAATAGTTCTTGTTTTCCATCTTTTTTTGTTTCAAACTGTATATATACATTATTTTGACAGCAGTTGACATTACTTCAGAAAGTGTTATGCCTGGAACAGAATGGAACATTTTACCATTCCTTCCAGAATTCATGAGTTGTTTTAGCTTCTTCAGAAAAGTATTTGCAGTAAGAAGCATACAATAAGCCTCCAGTAGAAGACCTGATACAAAAAGTCCCTCCTTCTGTTTGTTTGTTGCTAGGCGTTATGATATGTGATGATTCAACAGCCAGACTTGTCTTAATTCATTTTGTCCTTGTATCATGTACAGACAATCACTTGTTCAGGCAATCCCCCCTCCCCAACAATGTGTACTCTAGTGTGGGGCAGAGTGTGAATTTATTCCCTCTAGGTTGTGCTTCTGGTACAAAAAAACCCCACAACCTTTCTGCAGAAAATTGTGGTTGCTGAAAAACACATGAAACAGTATGCCTTCTTATGAGTATAATTTTCCACATTTGTGGTTTAGCTGGGATGCAAAAGTGCCTATCCTGAAGCATCAAAATCTCTCAACTGTACTGAAAGAGATTGTTTTAGACAGGGAAGTCATAGGGTTAATCATGACTTTGGGCCAAGGTAATGGAAAAATATCTTGGCTTCAGTTCAGTCCTGCAGCGCAGTGTTCTCTACAGTGGCGTCCCTAGCAACATTCTGCTATTGCTCCCAAAGCCGTCTTGTCTGCTGCTTCCCCCCAGCTCTGCTTTCCTGGTGTTCTTTGGTGTTTGTATTTTTCCATTATGAAGAGCTGTTTGTACTCTATTTGTGCAGGTGCCCTTTCTCCAAAGTCTAGGAGAGTCAAAGCTTAATTGATTTAACAGAATCTGAGTCTTGTTTAAAGCCAGATGCCCTGGTCTTAAAGGCAGGGCTGCATATTATCACATTTGTCCTGTTTTCTTCATTAGCTGTAGAAAACAAACTTGAACTGAGTATTTACACCAATTAGATTGAAAGAATAAGCCAAGACATAAGAGCAATTCTTCTTAGCACAATTTCCTTTGCTATTAGTTTAAATCATAAACAGCATGGGGAACATTATTTAAAGAAATGGCCCATGCAGATATGACTAGACTGATTCCTTTCTATACTGCGTACTGGAACAGAAAGCCTGATGGATAGAAAGTGAATGAAAGACACTTTAAATTCAGATGGACATTTAGCCTATATATTGTTATCCATCCATCCATCCAGTTTTTTACATCTGAACTGCAGATGCAGGAAGGGGAGGCAAAAAAACTGGTACATTGTTTATGAAAACAGCTTAAACCTCAGAGCCAGTGTTCGAAACTCCCATTGTTCTAGGTGCATTTTGTGACAGGGAATTTCATTAGTGCGAGCAGTTTTTCAGCTCTGGGCACAGTAGTGCACCTAAGATTTCAGATTAAAACTGCAGAGTGGAAGGAAAGGAGGACCTTTTCCTGCCTCTCCACTTCCAGCTACTCTCTGAAGACTGGGAAAGAGACCCTCTTCAGAATATTCATTCATTTTCAGCTTTGTATTCTTGTTATATAAAAATCGTGCCTGGACATTCTGTTGTTGGGCCCATAAGCTAGGTTTAAGGTGCCATTTAGCTCCTAGCTTTCATATCTCAGTTTCTAACACTGCTCAGAGCCACAGATGAAATTTAGCACAGCAAGGTCTTGTCCTAGCTACTGGAAAACATTTGTGCACATAATATAGATTGACATCCTCTCCATAAGGTATATCTTGAGACATATAGTGAGTACCAGGACTGAAGTGGGATGGGAGTGGGACACAGCAGATAAAGAGAACAAAGGTGTATTGGCAGCATTTCAAGAGCTGAGCTCCATAACGTAAGACATATTTGAACATAATACATATAGATAAGATTATATGAAGGCCTGCAATACAAGCGGATTGGGGAGGGGGCTGTGGGTTGCAGTGCTTCATCATGGTGGTGGCGGGAAGCTCAGCACCTGCCCATAGCTCAGTATAGCCATGCTGCAGCAAGATTTATGCTCTCATCCCAAGCATTAAATTATGTGTCATGCTTTAAATTTCTTCTCTTGAGGCCTGACCCTCCTCAACACAAACACACAGAGACACCCCCTCATTAGGGGCCCATTCTTGCTTGGAAATTAACATTTTTGTGTTGCTTTCCAAGCATCCATAACTATTCCAGTGCCACCCCAAGAGGCTCACTTCAAGGAATCAAGCTTACATTCCTTTCCCTGATTCCAAACACAAGTGCTCAGGGCTTGGCATTCCTTTCCCCACAATACTGAAAGCAACAGGTTAAGAATCTGTATGTAAACTGTAAGGCAAACTGCAGGGTTAGCACTTAGGTTCCCTGGAGAGCAGCATTCCACACCCATTGAGCTCTGAAGTCAGTGATGGCAACCTCTTTGAGCAAGACCCTCAAGCAGAAGGCTTTTTAAGGGAAGGGAAGGAGAAAAATGTTCTATGGGAAAGAGAGCAGAAGATCTTCTCACTTGCTCAGTTAGGAGAGCATCCTTGACAGTTCACTGTGGACGCTTGTTAATCATATCCTTAGTGTGGCTGTGGACAATGTGTGTTGCAGCTTTGCAACTCTTGAATACCTCTTAAGCTAGTTGTATGGAAAATTCTTCTTAAATATTACAATATAAAAGCATGGTTCTTGAAATTGTAGACAGAGCAAGAGTCTTCCTAGGTAAGATTTGACCCACTGCCCTGCTAGTGTAAGCAACAGTCTCCTGGTGGTTCCAGGATGTCATTTCTCTTGGGGGAAGGGGACAAAATATGGTCCCAGATACCACTCCTTGTCTTGGATATGTCAACTGTGTTCACACACAGTTTCAATTTATGTATTTTAAGGAGATTTATTGTTAATCTTTTATACCTCTCAATAATTACAGCAGTGTGGCAAGACAAGCAACAACATACAAAAGAGCAAGGGGCTCATGCCTGGACAAGGACATGTAGTACAGCAGAGCTTTCCAAACTGTGGGTCGCGATACGTTAGTGTGTCGGCTGCAGTGTGTAGCGTGAACACTCTCTGTGCTCCTCCCGTGGCTGGAAAGTTTAACCACTGTTTTGCTAGTAAAACTGAATAACTGTGTCACGAAATGATGCATGTCTAAAAAGTATGTCACCAACATGAAAGGTTTGGAAAGCTCTATAGTACAGTATGACTTTGTAACAGTAACTATCCAACATGGAGAGCCTATAAGCTTGCTAGCGAAGTTTGGGATGCACAAGTGATCTGAAGTGGGAGAGCAGGGGAAAGTATTTTGACTGCAATGTGGGTGGCAGCACTGATAATACACACTTCATGTGTCATTACAGTTTTATCCATGCTCTCTGCTTTCTTCTTTGATCTGCCTTTTCCTGGCCATAAAACAAGAATTAGTTGTACTAGCCAAACTGTTGCCTTCATTTTGATCTTTATTGTTTTCTTGAAGGGTTGAACATCTGTTCCCTCTATACTTGAGAGGCCAGCTATACATTGAAATCCCCTGGTCTAAAATTATTGCACTACACACAACAGCTTCATTGCTACACATGAGCTTGCAGTTGGCTCTTATGCTGTTTATTATTGACTAAAAGGCCAAAGGGAAACACTACCCAACATCCACAACACATGCTCTTAGTACTTAACAGTGGGCTCAAGGAGAGGGGGAGAAAATGTAGCCTGTAGGCTGTTTAAACAAAACCATAGCTGTATTTCTCCATTCAAAGATACCGTCATTACTGTCTGTATACACAACACTCATGCTATCATTATTTTAATAATCTGAATCGTGCAGTCAATGCAGCTACCAAAAAAGGCACCAGATTGCATTTATTTATAATCCTGTTAAATTAGCAATGAGCCAATCTCTTCAGTTCTCACCATAACAGTCTCTGTTTTCATGTTGATATTAACTTACTCCCCTCAGTTTTCATTTTGTGGATTTCTTTGGTGTGATTGTCTTTTCTCCTCTAATTTCATACATTTCTTTCTGCTTGTGCCATCCTCCCCTGCTCCTCATCTCACACACCCCTTTACAACGTAACAGAGCTGGAGATGCTTTCGGCATTTATGGTAATGTTTGGATTTGTGATCCCTAAAAAAAGAAAGAAAGATGGCCTCTGTCCATTTCATTCAGTTTTATTTGTGGCAGGCTGTTGAGCTGGGGGAAAGGAAGCATATAAGAGGCATCCCAGGACAAGCTAGGATTTGTTCCTGAAATGCTCCTCTAAATCTTTATGCTTTCTTTTCTGTTCCTTAACACTGTTTCCTGTCACTGGTCACTTCAAGTTGACCAGTTTATTGAGCAGTCATGCTGATTTTGTTTGCACAACATTTGCAGGGAGGATAGACAACGCTATCTATTTATTCAGCATTCATTCTGGTTTGGTCTTGTGGAGGTTATATGACATTATGTCAAGTAACTGTCATCCCATGCTTTCCCCGTCAGTTTCCTTATGGCAAAAAGACCGGGGAGCGGGGGCAGGGAGAAGTGGGCTTGTTGAACAAGAGTACTAAATCAACCTGGAGTGCTAAATCAACCTGTACAACCTGGATTGTGTTTGTGATTGAAGTCCACCTGAAAATAGTAACAGCCTGGAAGTGGCCACTCTGTCTGCTTAAATGGAGGGGCTTTTTTGCTCTTCATTCCAGTCCCATTCATAACTTCCTTTTGCATGCACTGGATTCTCCCTGAACCTAACATTTCACTTCCAAACTAGACATTGTCTTTGATAGGCAGGTCTCAAACAGAAAATATTATTGGTGTGCCCATCTGAAATATTTGGAGGAGGCTGACCTCCTGGCACTTTTCCCAGCCAAGAGAGCAAAGGACATTTTAGAATTCAGCACTCAGCTTGGAGGACTGAGTACAGACAGAGACACCATGCTCTGAAATTTCTTGTAGCTATGGTACATCTGTATTCTAGTAATAAATTTGAGAGAATTTATACCCTGTCTTTCCAGTGCAGGGAACACAGCTCAAGGCAGTTTACAACAAAATAAAATCACATAATTAAATCAGCATAACCCTCCTGGCCATCAATACAACTGAAAATGGACAGAACAGATAACACCAGGTATTGGTCCACTAAAAATATGGATGACCAATCCCAAAGAGCCATAGTAATAGTAATAGTAATAGTAATAGTAATAATAATAATAGAGTCTTTGCATGGCTCTGGGCTGTTCTCCTCAGCGGCCTCAGTTTAAAGTTCCTTCCCATATTACTGCTGCTTTCCTTTCCTCACCTGCCTTCCCCCTTTTCCTAGACATTCCTGGAGACTCCTGTTTATAAGGTGACCCTACACACCATGAGATAGGTATTATCATGTGTCAGCTGTATCCCCAAAGCTGCAGTACAATACCTGAGTCATGATAAGAGGTTGTTATTTCACTCTGTCATAACTGCTTACATCACAGGATCTGGGAATCTCTCTTACAAAAGCGTGAGTGCAGCTCTTGGCAATAAGCTGGAAATAACGAGGCGACTCAGTTAACATGCAGCAGCTGAAGGCCTACAGCAGAACAGAAGGACACTCAACTTCCTACTGCTTGGAAAGTACCGTCAAGCATTGCCTCACTCCAAGTTCCTTTGCAAAGCTGGTTCTTGTTTCAGACAGTTGCTGAAGGTGGGCACACACTCATTTGCTTGGAAAACAAATCAACAGCTGTCCCTTTACGGCTGTGTCATCCTTGCTTCAAGAATATAGTGCACTGTTTCCTACATGCTTGTTTGACTCAGATGACTCTGATTTACTGTTGTTTTTTATTTTGAGAATTGAATGAACTTCCCAGATCTGCCTCATGCTTCATTCTCAAATTACCAGCCTCCCTTATCTAATTTCATTAGGAGTCATTTATGCTTATATTTATGCGGGCAGAGCCCTGGAAGAGAACAGCCTCTGGCAGTTGGCACTGAGAATTGCCAGAATTCCAGGCAATAGCATCTATTGTAGGAAAGTGTGACTTGGTCTTCTAGCAAAGACAAAACAGTTTCTCTCCAAGTGCTTTAAAAACTTGTCATGGTTGGCAATATCTGCGTGGCCAGAAGTCTCCCAGCACTATCACTAAAATGGCAATTTAAAAGTGGTTTAGTGGCAGCTGTTCAATGACTGACTATTATTTAGTAGTCTTTGCATAAGAACTGCATGGGTATTAAATGCTCAATGTTATGCTTTTATTGCACGAATATTACATTTTTCTAACACAAAACCCACCAAAATTTGCAGAGGGGTCTACACAATTCATCCTAGTGGCTGTGTACATAGTCAGATTTCCTCTGCATCCAGTGCGCTCCCACCACTGGTTTTTGAAGCAGTGAACACATAACATTAGCCACGCTCCACATCTATCCTGAAGTTTTTTGAGAATGTACTGTGTTTTGATGCACTTCCCCCCAGCTTGGCTTAGCTGTCAACGTTTCCCATTTTTTAAGGGAAATTCCCTTATTCCAAATAGGATTCCTCGCAAGAAAAGGGAAAACTTGACAGCTATGCCCCAACCAGCTTTGATCCAATTTGAAACGTAAACCATATGAAGGCATCTGGGCCCACCCTCTGCCCACTGGTGTAGGAGACTTGCAAACACAATCACGTATACATGTGATTCAAAACCCAGCAGAAAAAATGACCTTGCTGCATTTTAAGCCAGTATTGTGTGCCCACTGCTGTTATGACTGCTGTGTAGGATGTGGTTGATCATGAGCCCTACAAAATATTGACTGCAATTTGAACATTCAGCCACACTTTTAAGAGATAAGTACCAGCATAGATCCATGCCCCTAGCATGCTCCACCATTCAGCAAAAGATTTTAAAAATATAGCGCTTCTAAGAAAATTATTTTGGTGCCATGTGCTATGCTGTGTTTTCTCTTAGGAGCAGCAGAAACGTGCAAGTCTAACTCTTTGTGCCTAACCACTACGATGTGTTTGAAACGGTGGTGGAAACTCTGGATAGCTGAGGGAAAAGAGCAGGTGCCTTGTTATCCAGAGAGAGGATGGAGGGGCCCCAGCTGTGGAAGGAGCAAAAAGGCAGGCAAAGCTGGTGAAAGTTGATGGGGGGGTGGGGGACAGGACGCCCAGCTGGTGGCTAAACCCTGCAAATCTGTCACTGATGGGCAGGTGGCTGATATTTGTCCTGCTGCATTTCCAGTTCACCCGCTTCTTTCATTGCTTTGTCATCTGAGCTGGCTTTTCCTCAGCTGTCTGTTTCTCTGAGGTTGTTATAAAATATGGAGCTATGAAAGGGGAAAGGGAAGATTGCAGCACCAGCAACAGAAAAGGGATGTGGCTACAAAACTCAACAGGAATCACCCCTTCACGATCTGTCTCTTTGTTTTGACACTGTGAGCAAGCATTGCCTGGCTTCCAAGCTACTCTGATAAGTAGGCATGAGAAAACAAGTTTGCTTGTGGACGGATTTTATTACGAGTGTTTCTGCTTCATGTAATGATTGGTGAAGGATACATAGAGATGGTGGTTACATAAAGAAGAAATAAAACTCTTTTAAAAATCTAGAATGGTCCTGTGCTCCAGAATCCTAGAGTAGAAATTTCCTTTTCAAAAAGAACTGAGTTTTTCAGCACCTCAGGCATAGAGTGCAAGTGCTTTTGGAGTCAGTTGAAATTTCCAGATTGTCTTCAAGGCCAGCCACACGTAGAATACAGTGCAGTCGTCTCCTTTAGAATCTAGTTACAAAAAGCATGTGTCAAGTTTGAAGAGTCCCTCTTTTTCCAGGAGAGAACACAGCTGCCGTGGTAGATGAAGTTGAAAAATTCATTTCAGGTGACAGCTAGTCTCTGAGTATTTAGAAAAAATATATAAAAAGCCTATTCCTTAAGTAGAAGAGTGATTTAATCCACAGCAGGTAAAACCACCAGCATTCTGGTTTATTGGATTACCCAACATGAGCAAATGTGTTTTATCTGAACCAAGCTTTTGTTTACAGTGTTACCTCGGGTTAAGTACATAATTCATTCCGGAAGTCCGTACTTAACCTGAAACTGTTCTTAACCTAAAGCACCGCTTTAGCTACTGGGGCCTCCTGCTGCCGCAGCGCCGCCAGAGCACGATTTCTGTTCTCATCCTGAAGCAAAGTTCTTAACCTGAAGCACTATTTCTGGATTAGCAGAGTCTGTAACCTGAAGCGTATGTAACCTGAAGCGTATGTAACCCGAGGTACCACTGTACTTGCTTTCATACAATCAAACACTAGTTTTCAACCACTTGTTAAGCAATATCACTGCTTCACTTGCATCAAATGAAAAAGAGAAGCAGTGCTGGGTGTAGTCAGCATACTGATAGCACATTGCCCAAAATATCCAAACTACTGTACATTGCTAAATAGTCTGGGAGACAAAACTGAACCCAGAGGCAAATCTTAGGATAAAAGAAGACTGACTCCCAGTGCCACTATCTACCATACAAGGAGAATATGCATTGTAAGGGTTAAACTGTAAGGCAATCCTCATGTCAGCAGCCAGAAAAGAAGGTTCTGTTTCACTCTGAGCAGACTGAATTGATCCCAGAAGAATCTCTTAAGAATGGACTGTGTGGGTGTTAGAGGAATGGGGGAAATTAGCTAGAACAAAGAGCCAGAGATTTCAACTTTCAGTGAGCCCCAGTGGATGACAAATGGGTTTCTTGGAGGACACCAAAGCATTGTTTAGTAGTGTACAAGAAAGCATTTCCTGCAAAGGCTTTCCCACAGGATGAGAGTAATTCCATTAAGTTACTAGAGGTCTTTCCTGTTTGGTAGGGTGAGAACCCTATCCTTGGAACCCCATCCCAATGTAATTGCCATCTTCTATACAGTATAGATATTCTGAGAAAAGCGGCTAGCAAATATTGTTTCCCCAAACCATTAACTAGGTGTACAGAATGAATTAACCATATAAAAACCTGCATTTTTTTGCTCTGATTCTCCTTAGGGCACACACATGGTCCCATTGAGCTCCTCCTTTTACACATCATTACTCTCTCCAATGCCCTCTACCCACCCAGCCCTCTTATTCTGCATATATATGTTGTCATTATATGTTCCATATTTTTACCCAGGCAGCCATGACAACTCCCAAGCCAAGTCACCTTTCTCCTCTTCAGTCTTGCTGTTTCCTCTCTAGTAGTGAATGGCAGATGAGCTTTTTCTTTAGGCCAGCAACCCTGAATTAAATCACTTCAGGGTAGCCAAGAGTGAAAAAAGAGCTCAGCAGGCCAGCCTCTCCCTGCCCCCCCCCCCAATTTTTTGCAACAAATTCAGTGTCTTGCTCTTTGAAACCTACCTCATGGTAGTTCATAAAGTAAGTTTATTATTGTTTTTCTCCATTTGAAGAACTATGATTATAGCAGTTCAGTTGCAGCTTCCTGAACTGCAGCCAGATACCGTCTTCATGGGTTTGGGCTCAAAAACGCACACTGTTGGAACAAAGGTATGTGTGTCTATACACAGACACATTCCTTTGTCGCTTCCTGGAGGATTTCCCCTAAATTATTCAGGGTCTAAAGGTGAATTTTGTTCTCTGCCCTACTGATCAGCTTTGTGCTGGACTGCTTTTTAGCTCTGAATCCTTATCAGGAATTCCCTTCCAGTGTGAAGTTTCCGTTCTTTATATCCTCCTAGCCATCATCTTTTAGATCATAATTGACAGAGCTGATTGTTTTCTTTTTGCCTTGTTTCAAATGATGTCTGAGTTTTCTGAGTCTGCTGTGGGGGAAAACAGTTCATTTTCCATTACTGTAAGTGGATAGATACCATATTTTTGCTCTATAAGACTCACTTTTTCCCTCCTAAAAAGTAAGGGGAAATGTGTGTGCATCTTATGGAGCGAATGCAGGCTACGCAGCTATCCCAGAAGCCAGAACAGCAAGAGGGATCGCTGCTTTCACTGCGCAGTGATCCCTCTTGCTGTTCCAGCTTCTGGGATTCAGAATATTTTTTTCTTGTTTTCCTCCTCCAAAAACTAGGTGTGTCTTATGGTCTGGTGCATCTTATAGAGCAAAAAATACGGTACTTGAATTCACAGAATGTCTTGTGTTATTAAGGTTAAGGTTATTAAGCACTTTTTAGTAGATGTAGCACCATGATGGGAAAAGCTATGTTCCTCACTCTGTTCATTCTGTACTTGCCAAACGGATTAGGACTTCTGATCTGTATGACATTCAACCAGATTAAGATTGTAGAGAGGGCAGCGGACTTCCGGGGTGGCGCCATCGGTAATGGCGGATTCCCTCTGACTCGGAGGGGACCGGCTCTGCGGAAATCGGGTCTGTACCGCTACGGCGAAGCGGGGACCCTTCAAAAATCACAGGCGGGTGAAGCCTGTGACCGTGGGACTCGGCGGGCACCTTTTGCGCCCCCCCAATTTGCAAAGGAGCCCGATTACGGGTTCCGGAGTGAAGCGGGGAAGCGGCGCGGTGCTGTGAGTCAACTGCTTCTTCCGTGGAGTGAAGCCGCACAGCCGTTACCGGAGAGCGCTACCTTTTCCTGTGACAATTTGGCTACAAAACAACGATCCGTGAGTAGGCTAATTTGGGAATTAAAGGAGAACAAAGAATAAAGAAGTAATTTGATACCGAAGCGGAGAGGCATAAACAGGAAGTCTGCCTTCCGTTCTTTGTAAATAGAGTAAAGCAATGAACTTGTAAGCTAAAACCTTGAAAGACGTTTGAAAAGGACTATAATTCTATCATCAAAACAAGAGGAGGGGGGGAAAGGTGTGAACTGTATTTCCCTGCAAAAAGAGAGAAAAGGAAGCTAAAATCCACCGCTTAAACCCTGGGAACGGGCTGCCAATGAACAATAAGAATGCCATACTGTGAAATGCGCTATTGGTGAAAGTACTTTCTGACAGCTAACTCTGCAAGTGAGATACAAGTGGGATACAATATTTCTGGCTGGCTTCTCCTGGTTTCAAAGTAACTGGAAAATAACTGAAAATTGAAACTGTCGTCTATTTTGTGAACTGGGGGATTTAAAGAAAAAAGGTTATTTAATTTAAGGTAACAACTTTGGACTGCTACTGTGTCCCCCTAGAGGAAGTTTGAAACTGTTACAATAACAACTGGGCCAGGGGAATTTTCCACTTCAAAACAAATTCTGGTCGTGGGATTGACCTTGGGCCTTATCTAGAGTGTTATGGCAAATGGAAAAGAGAAAATAGATTTGCTTCAGGAAAAAACAACGAGGTCTGGTAGATCATTTCACCCAGACGTTGGGCTGCAGCGAAGAGCATCAACATCTGGCCCTTCTGGCCCTTCTGGCTTACCAACAGGGGCTGCATTGGTACAATCTAAACCCAAAGGAATGGCATCCGAAGATGCTTTAGCTCAGGCACTAGGTAAAATTAATGAATCTCTGGAAAAATAAGTAAACAAGTAGCTGAAGCATCAGTTAAAATTGATCAAAATACCACAAGTATTAACAATTTGGGACAGAAGGTAAATACTAACACAGAAACCATTGAGAAATTGCTACAGGAATCTACTTCGACCCGAAAGACAGCTGAAGAAGCAAAGGAAATAGCAGTTGCTGTAGAAGAGAAGATACCACCGATACACAAGCAACTTGAAGACCACAGGTTAATATTGTCTATGATTGAATTGAAGGAGAAACAAACGAATTTGAGGATTAGGGCCGTACCTGAACTTGAGAAAGACAACTTGACTGACTTCCTTACCCAGGAATTTGCAGACTTTTGGAATCCAGACTTGGAGAAGGACAACTTTAAGATAGTGAGCGCTTTCAGGCTTGGAAGAGGAGGGAAGAAGAACAGGGTGAGAGACTGTTTGATCACCCTCCGAACAAAAGAGGAGAGAGACAAAATCTTGAGTCTGCACTTCCAGAAGACTTTGGAGATACATCAGTCAAAGGTGGAGATATTTAAGGACATTCCGAAATATCTTTTGGACCTTAGATCCAATTATAGAGATCTGGTTGCCCTGCTGAGAAGCAACAAAATCATCTTTAGGTGGGAATTCCCCCAAGGCCTTTCCTTTAGTTTCAAAGGAAGAAAGATAAAAATAAGATCAGAGGACGACAAAGAAAGATTTTTGAGAGACCACAGAGAAGACCTGCAGAAAGAAGCTGGAGAAGAGTCAAGAATACTAGAAAGAGGAACTTTAGACATACCAAGACTACCTTTTGAATTAAAAGACCGCCTGGAGAAGGTGATACCACCGACAGAACAGGAACAGGCACTTGGTGCAGTTGGAGGAGAAGTAAAGTAACTACATCATGGCTCTGCAACTATTAAGCTGGAATTGTAATGGTCTCAACTCCCCTCAGAAAAGGAAATCTGTGTTTCATTTATTAAAAAAGGAACAATTGGACTTGATTTGTTTACAGGAAACACATGTAACAAGGTTACACAGGAAAGTATTGATCAACAAAAGACTGGGCCAGGAATTTATTTCTTCGGATAAAGTTAAAAAAAGAGGAGTAGTGATTTATGCAAAGGAGAGACTATTACCGAAATTTATCTTCAAAGATGACCAAGGAAGATTTGTGGCAATTGAAATTCAAATACAAGGAGAGAAATTCTTAATAGTAGGAGTTTATGCACCAAATGAGGGGAAATCTGAATTCTTTAAAAAGTTGCATGAGACCTTGATGGACTATTTGGACTACAATGTGATTTTGATGGGAGATATGAATGGAGTGGTATATACACATATGGACAAGGCACAAAGACAGGTAGTCACTAAGGATGGTAGACTACCGAAAACCTTTTTTGAGATGACAGACAACTTGGACTTAGTTGATATCTGGAGAACAAAGAATCCCCTGGCCAGAGAGGGAACCTTCTTTTCTGAAGCCAAACTGACATGGACAAGAATTGACCAAATATGGCTAACTAGAGGAATGGCACCAAAGACAAGAAAAGCGGAAATCTGCCCAAAAACCTGCTCCGACCATAATGCTGTTAAGATGGAGATGAAACTAACACCAACCGGCTCCTTCAGATGGAGGATGAATGATGCCTTATTTAGAGATGAAGAAGTCATTAAGAAGGCCCAAAAAACCTTGAGAGACTATTTTGAGATAAATATGAACACCAATGTTGAAAAAAGAGTAATCTGGGACGCAAGCAGAGCAGTTATGAGAGGGTTCTTGATACAACAGAATGCATTAAAGAAGAGAATCCAAAATGAGAAGAAGGATAAAATATTGGAGAAAATAAAGGAAAGTGAAAAGAAATTGAGAGCAAAACCAAAGTCGCAAGAGATTTTGAGAGAAATAAAGTTATATCAAGTACAATACATGAAAATGATGAATCAGGAGATAGAATGGAAAATTAAACAAATGAGACAAAAGACATTTGAGTCGGCTAATAAATGTGGGAAATTGTTGGCTTGGCAAATGAAAAAAGACAAAAACTAAATACTGTCACAAATTTAGAAGTGGAAGGAAGGAATATACAGAACCCAGTTGAGATTAGAAATTGTTTCCAGAGGTATTTTAAACAACTATACACACAAGGGCCACAGAAAGAAATTGATGTAGACCGATTTTTGAAAACAAATGGATTACAAAAAATCTCTCAAGAAAATAAATTAATGCTGAACTATAAAATAACTGAACAGGAGGTAGAAGGTGCCATTCAGAATATGCAACTAGGTAAATCTCCAGGACCGGATGGACTGACTTCTAGATACTACAGATCCTTGAAGGAATGGCTAGTACAACCTTTAAAGGAAGTCTGTAACGAAATAATGGGTGGGAAAAGGGCACCAGAGTCGTGGAAAGAAGCGTATATTACACTTGTACCGAAAATAGAGACTGAAAAGACCCAGCTTAAGAACTACCGCCCCATATCACTGCTCAATGTGGATTACAAAATCTTTGCAGACATTTTGGCTAAAAGACTAAAAAGAGTCCTAATGGAAGAGATACATAAAGATCAAGCAGGCTTTCTCCCGGGTAGACATCTGTCTGACAATGTGAGAAACATAATCAATATTTTAGAAAAAACTACAAGTGAATATAAATACCAAGGCAGTTTTGATATTTGTGGACGCGGAGAAAGCCTTCGACAATATTTCTTGGAGTTTCATGAAGAAGAACCTACAGGAGATGGGGGTAGGCCAAGGTTTTGAAAACGGTATAAGTGCAATTTATTCAGAACAAAAGGCTAAATTAATTGTAAATAACGTGGTGACGGAGGAATTTAAGATAGAAAAAGGGACACGACAAGGTTGCCCAATCTCCCCATTGCTATTTATATCGGTCCTGGAGGTCCTGCTGAATATGATTAGAAGGGACCAATTGGTTAAAGGTATACAAGTCGGAGCTAAACAGTACAAATTGAGAGCATTTGCAGATGACTTAGTATTGACATTGCAGGAGCCAGAATCTAGTACTAAAAGGGTTTTGGAACTGATTCAAGAATTTGGTCAGGTTGCAGGATTTAAATTGAATAAGTTAAAAACAAAGGTCTTAGAGAAAAACTTAACTGTGATTGAGAAAGAGAGGTTTCAGAATGAGACAGGTTTAACAGTGGTTAAGAAAGTGAAATACCTGGGGATTAACATGACAGCTAAAATGGGAATCTATTTAAAGACAATTTTGAAAAATGCTGGGCTGAAGTGAAAAAAGACTTAGAAATTTGGTCAAATTTGAAGCTTTCACTGCTAGGCCGTATTGCTGCGATAAAAATGAATGTATTGCCTAGAATGTTATTTCTCTTTCAAACATTGCAAATTTTGGACAAAATGGATTGCTTCAAGAGGTGGCAGAGAGATATCTCTAGATTTGTCTGGCAGGGCAAGAAGCCTAGAATAAAATTTAAAATACTAATGGATGCAAAGGAAAGAGGTGGATTTGCCCTGCCAGACCTTAAACTTTATTATGAATCAGCAGCTTTTTGCTGGCTGAAAGAATGGCTGCTTCTTGAAAACACAGACATTTTGGACTTAGAAGGTTTTAATAATGTATTTGGATGGCATGCATATTTGTGGTATGATAAGGTCAAAGCACATAAAGCATTTAAAAATCATATTGTCAGGAAAGCATTGTTTAATGTCTGGATAAGATATAAAGACCTACTGGAAAATAAAACCCCAAGGTGGCTGTCACCGATGGAAGCGAAAGCTCTGAAAAAGCTCAATATGGAGGCCAAATGGCCGAAATATTGGGAAATTCTGGAACAAGAGGGAGATAGACTGAAATTGCAGAGCTTTGAGAAACTAAAAACAAAGTGCGAGATTGGCTTCATTATTATCAGATAATGGAGGCATACAATTTGGATAAGAAAATAGGCTTCCAGGTGGAAAAATCAAAATTAGAAACAGAACTGTTAGAACCCAAAACTAAGATTTTGTCAAAGATGTATAACTTGCTGTTGAAATGGAATACTCAGGATGAAACGGTTAAATCTGCTATGATTAAGTGGGCACAAGATGTTGGACATAACATAATGATGGCTGACTGGGAACAGTTATGGACCACAGGTATGAAGTTTACGGCATGTAATGCCTTAAGAGAGAATATTATGAAAATGATATACAGGTGGTACATGACACCAGTCAAGCTTGCAAAAATCTATCA